GTTATTAATATTGTTTGTGTTAAATCAAGTAATAACTTGGCGGATCCATTAACAAAAGCACTTTCAAGAGCTTTGGTAGTTAGTACATCTAGTGTAATGGGGCTAAAACCCTTTATTGAAAATTAGCCACAAATAGTGGTAATCCGACTTTATCTAGAACATCACTCTAGTTTAAAAGTTTAATGGGTAATAACAAGTTATTGATAAGTGGTAATCCTTTATGTGCACCACAATTTCGTCTGTTTCTAACTCATCACCCATCGAATTATACTTCTATGTCTACTTGCTACAAATTTATATAACTACAACACAACTTATCACAAACCATCACAAATTTTGCACCTATATATCTAAAATCCAATTTCACGTTTTCAACCAAATCCAATGGTGGTCCCACCATTATGGATTCAAATTCCAAAATAATAAATACCAAAACGGAGTGAAAATATATTATAATAGGGGCTCTAGATTTCTTCAGAGACTAACCTGCACAATCTCGATTTCTTTAGAGTTTATGGATGAACAACCTTTGTCAACTCTAACCCAAGCATAGCTTCAATTTATACAAACTGAGCCCTCATACCCTTCACTAGCTCTATCTCTCTGCATATTTTTTCTTGTGAAGACAACTCTAATTCTTCCCTCTCTCAAGGACAAGAACAAACCCAATGAACAAAAAAAAAAAAATTTAAAATAAATAAAGTTACATGATTACCCAGTCACAGTCGCAACGCACTTTAAATCCAGCTGAAATCGACTTTCAACGCAGCTCTCTCTCTCTGCCTCTCTTTCCCTCTTCACCATACCCAAATCCCTTAACTACCTATCTCCTTATTTCTCTACGACCAAAAGTTACCCAGTGAATAAAAAAATTGAGAAAAAATTTTAATTGCACCGGGTCACAACAACACGATTCTACCCTGAGCTCAGTAAATCGCCACCTTCTGATTTTCGTCTGCATGCAAGGTTCATTTATAAGGTCCAGACCTTAGGAACACCCCAGGTTTAATCCTCCTGTCTCCTCGCTCACACTTGACTTAGTGCCCACATTGGTTGTATAGGGCCAGGGCATTTCAGTCGTATTTTTGATCTAACGCCTTTATTCCATGATTCTTGGCCTTGCAACCGCTGTCTTAATCTAGCCCGTGCCTTCTCTCTAGCAATTTGGGCTCATGACCATCAAACCAACCACTAGCATGTCCACGCCATATCCAATGTTATACCCACATTTTCAAACAGTAATGTGGCTACCTCATCAACTGCCATATCCACCTATATCCTATGGTTACTCAGCTATGTGAAGGAGGAAATTAATGCTTTCTTACATAATCAAACATGGTCTCTTGTGCCTTCAATTCCAATCAAAACACAGTTGGCTGCAACTAGGTTTTCCGAATTAAGCGTAATCTCGTCTTGTGGCCAAGGGTTTTCATTAGAGACCAGATATTGATTATGATGAGACGTTTAGCCATGTTGTTAAACCTATCACTATTCGCACCATTCTCAATTTGGATGTTTCACAAAATTGGCTGTAAAGCCAGTTGGATGTCAAAAATGCATTTCTCCATGTGTTTCTTTATGAAGATTATACAGCCCCCTGGATTTATTGATCATGCCCATCCTCATCATGGTTTTCGCCTACACAAATCTCTTTACAATCTCTAACATGCTCCTCGTGGATTCATTTTTTCCTTTTGTCCTTTAAAATTATTTAGAGTGCTGCTGATTCCTCTTTTTTTATATTTCAGCATCTCACTCACACTATTTTTTTGCATCTTTATGTGGATGATATTATCGTCACTAGCAATTCTTCAGATCTTGTACTCAGTTTATTGCTCTCATTGGCAAGCGGTTTGGCATGAAGGATTTAGGGCCCCATTCTTTTTTGGGATTACAGGTTACTATTGATTCCACTGGCCTACATGTTCATTAACTTAAATATGCTCATGATCTTTTTACAAAGTTTCGTATGGTTTCCTGTAAGTCGACCTCGACCCCTATTGCTGCCAAAGTTCCTCTCATTATTGCAGATGGCTCTTTGCTTGCTTCCCCCACTGTTTTTTGTGAGTTAGTTGGTTCGCTCTAGTATCTTACCCTCACTCGTCCTGACCTTTCCTTTGTGGTCAACATTGTTGCTCGGTATGAGTTCTCCTCGCATTGCTCACTTGATAGTTGTTAAAAGGATTCTCCATTTGTTAAAGGTACATTAGGTTTTGGTATTCATCTACATCCTCAAACAACTTTTGCTACTTTATATGCTTATTCAGATGATGATGGGATGTCTGGATACTAGGCCTTCCACAATTGTCTATCTTATTTATTTGGGTTCTAATCTCATCTCATGGTGTTCCAAAAAGCAGCCCACTATTTCCTGCTCGAGTGCTAAGTTTGAGTATCACTCCCTTGCTCATGCATGTGTTGAGACCACTTGCATCCTTTTTTGGTGAAATTGGGGTTCGCTTGACATTTCCTATTTTACTACATTGTGATAATTTAAGTGCTACTTACCTTTCAGCCAATCCAATTCATCATGCTCACACACGTCAAATCAAACTTTATCATCATTTTGTTTGTGAGAAAGTTGGTATTTGTAGTTATCGTGTTTGTTACATTCCTTCTGGTGATCAACCAGTCGATCTTCTCACTAAAGCTCTTCGTCAGCCTCATCATGGTCTTCTTTGTTTTGGATCCAGCTCGTCTAGTTTGCATGGGGATGATGATGTTAGGATAGCATTAATTAATTGGGAATTTTTTGCGTGATTGTAGCATATAATATATGAATGTAATTTCCAATTGTTATTAGTATATAATTCCTACATCAATAAAATTAAAATAACCTTGTATATATTGTAATATTTTTCACACATCAATATGATCACTCATAATTCTACAAATATCATTCTAATATGCTTTTCATGTGTGTGTTTATTTATTTTTTTATTTTTTTTATTTTTTTGTATAAAGCTTTTCATGCTTTCGACCAAAACAAAAGCATGCTTGAAAGTTCTACAACTTTCTCCAAAGTAAATAATGAAGGTGCGACAAAAAAAACGTATATGTGGAGAAAGTCCGGTCTCTCGTCGCTTAGCTGATGTACTAACGATCCAAACCACAGTACTTTTATTTTATTTTTGTCAAATCAAACAACATTCTCGCATCCGGTGATTGCGATCAAGATTTTGTATTGCACATAATAGTTTTAGAGGCCAATCAAGCAATACACAAAGTGTCTAGAGTAATCTATGACTAATTATTTTTACACTCTTTTTTTTATTTTGGTCAAGGGAAAGATTTTATTCCAACCAAAATAGAAACTTACAAACAAACAAAGGTCCAACAACACATATACACAGGCAAAATGGGCCCAAACAGAAAGAAAACAACATAAACAGAAAATGAGCCCAAAAGTCCAAAACCAAAGAACATCTGAGAAGCATCACTGCCTTCTCCACCGACGATCCAAGGAACTGTCAGCTATTGGATTCCCTGACCACCGCCGATCATCTTCTTCACTGACGTCTCATGCGCACATCCATAAGTTATGGGTAATCGGCATCCAAGCAAGAGAAGCCAATCACCAGTTGGAAGCTTAGAACAAGTCCCAAGCAACACTGCCGCAAACGGCAAACACAAAGGAGAACATGGTGGTGTGGAATGCACTCGAGCCGGAGCAAGTGCCGGAACTCTACACACGATCTCGACAAAAGACATGGCTGAAAAACGAAGCAAGGAAGAATTAGGAAGAAGAGAACCCACGAAGTTGGAGGAATTGAAAAGGCCGAATAGAAAATTAGGGAGAACCAACAATAGATGCATGAAGAAAAAAAGGAGAAAAGGAAGAAGAGGCCACAGCATCCGACCCCAACCGAAGCTAGGGCCGGTGCCACCGAAGAGCCTGGAAGAAGATCTCATAGAAGTACTCTCATAACAGAGAGAAAGAAACTCTCACAGAGGAGAGAACTCAATTTCTACTCATTTCGATTAAAAAAGAAGAAGATTTTACACACTAGTTTTGACAAAAGATAGTTAATCTAATTTACATTAAGGTGAGGGTATAGGGTCGATTCAATTCGGGATTATAATGTGAGCAATAATAAAGTTTTTATTAAGGGTGTATTCAATTCGTTTTTTTTTTTTTTTTTGGTTATACAATGGATTATGTTAGATTAGATGTTAAATTAACCACCAATATGATTCAAACTCATGTTATCATGAAAGAGCTTAGCACTTTTTTATTATTGTGGTAAAAAATCACTTGCCTTATTCTTTCTTCGTGTGACTCTTTTATTTTGTTTTATCATAAAACAAAATGTTATCAATGGATCTTATAGGGAAAGGGACAGAGAACCAATTTAAATTGAACGTGAATATTAAGAAAAAAAAAAGTGTATCTTACAAAAGGTAAGCATCACGAGGAATAAAAAAGCAAAAAGCCAGGTGAGCATTAGTAATATTTTTGAAGTAATGTTAGGTAAATTAAATTTAGTAAATTAAATTATATGAAAATTGATGATTGAATTATTACGTAAATGTTAATAAATATGCTCATTTTATATTGATAACATATTACTTAATTTACAAATTTAACTTACAAATTTAATTTTCTTAGCATTACTCGTATTTTGAACCCTCCTTTCGTAAACCCTAGCATTAACCTTATTATAATAGTTTACCAAGCCGGACGTCGTCCTTATCTCATGATTACAAGTAGGGGTGGGCGCGGTGCGGTTTGGTGCGGTTTCGAGTGAAACCACAACCGAAACCAAAACATTTTGCGGTGCGGTGCGGTGCGGTTTTGAAGCCAAAACCGAAATGAAACCAAACTGTTCAGTTCGGTGCGGTGCGGTTTCAAACGGTTTCGGTTTGGTTTTTGAGAAAAAAAAATGTACAATTTAAAATGTACACCTATTTATGCATAAGACGGTCTTATTTTCCTCGTATATTAATTAATGAATATGTAGTAAAATTGCAGCAAAACTGCAGCAAAAAAGAGTCAAAACTGGAAAAAAAATGCAGCAAAACTGCATAAAAATCTGCACCAAAACAGCTAAAGTTCAAACTAAAGTTCATATATGGCATTAGTAGCAAGTGTGAGGCACCACTGGATACTGGTGTCTCATATATGGAACCAGAATCCACATATATTCCAATGGACGCTGCAGGACTCTGAATACTCAACACAAAAAGAACCAAAATTAATCAACAAGACTGAGCGGTAAAATTTGGCCATTGACACTGATTTTACTCGGTGAGTGAACTCCCGACTGGACAATTTGAAAATCTTAATTGGTCAGCACTGAGAAGATGCAAAATCAAAACCATCCCACGCAGAACTTATGATCAAAACCAGACATGACTACTTACTGTACTCCACTACAATTTGTACAGACGAATGTCATGAAGGTCGTGCAAACATATTGTGGTCCCTGCACAAAGAATACATGTTTAAAGGAAAACTTCATATATTCACTCCACAAGGATCTTCTTATATATCTTTCTAAGCACATGAGCGTGCATTTACGGATTTCGAATATTAATTGGCAGATATTAATAATTACAGTGTTTTGCTGCTTCCACTAGTACAATGCTGCAGATGAAGAACCATCAATGATGCCTGATTTTCACTTATTTGGGAACAATATAACAAGAAGACGCCATACCAAGCTATTGCAGTTGATGCATCTTTTATTCTCGGGAATTTTCAAAAGACTGCGAATTGTTCTTTCGATTTTCTCATCTTCCTTCGACCCTTTTCCCATTTCTCAGAAAATTATGAAACCTGAACAGAAAAAAGAGAATGGAGAAATAATTATTACAACAACCAACACAGCCACTGAGCTTAACTTTCTCTTCCTCAATTTTCTCACCAAACCGATAGAAACCCACAAGGAGAAAAAACAACCTGATTATATAACCAGTGTAGATTAAATTGATTTCCGCTTGAAGAAAATATGGCTCCTCCCTTCATCCAGAAAATACAGCGTCATCTTCCAAAAATAATTCGAATATCATCCATAAAAAATAATTTAAACAGATGCAAATGTTATTGCATGAACATCAATTACCCTCCTTTACTTCTCCTACATTTTCTCAGCTACCAAACAGATGGAAAAGCAGGTTTTGCCTCCAATTATTATCAAAATCTGATAAACTGAAGTAGAAGAGTAAAAACAAATGCAAATGTTATAACACGAACAGCAATTACCCTCCTCTACTTCTCCTACATTTCTCAGCAACCAAACAAATGAAAAATCAGTTTTTCACTCCGACTGTTATCAAAATCCGATAAATTGACGAAAAAATGCAGAAATTTTCCTTTCTTTTCCTAAATTTTCTGACCAACTAAACGGAAAATAAGAGGAGAAAATCAAAACCAACCTGATTATATAACCAGTGTCGCAGGCAGGCAGGCAGAAGCAGATGCAAGCAGGCAGTCAGGTGACCAGGTCGCAAAGACAGATGCGGAGATGCAAGGAGGCGGCGCAGAAGCAGTCACTGAAAGTGCAAACCCACTCGGTGCAAACCCAGGGGCCAGAACCGCAAAACCAAATGTATAAGTATAACCTAGTTGAATGAACTAAATAAAAAAAAAAAGTGCGGTTTCGGTTTCGGTGCGGTTTTGAAAACCCAAAACCGAAACCAAACCGTTTTGTGTGCCGCGGTTCGGTTTTGAAACCGAAACCGTTTCAAAACCGTAAAACCAAACCGTTTGGTGCGGTTTGATTCGATTCGTGTTTCGGTTTCGGTTTTCGGTTCCAAGTGCCCACCCCTAATTACAAGGATGGCAAGTGGCTGAAATACATGGGCCAACCTGTATCATTCACACCAAATGACTAAATCATCCCCTAAAACACAAGATTTTTTTTGTTGTGACGGGAATATATGTAGTATACCACCTGTTTTTATGTAAGTGGTTAGAAATTTTATTTTTTAAATTATTAAATTTTTAACACATATATCTCACTATTTATATAACGACACATGATGTACCATTCCGTATAACGATTATACTAAAAAATCTCTTCCAAAACAGACATCAACGTGTGCACAATAGTCAAAATAGCATATCATTTTCCACTATATAATGGTCTAAATAATATACCACTCACTCGACCAGGCTTCACCCTCGCAATTCGCAAATATGGCATCCAGCAACTCCGTCAACTATCTCTTCAGCTCCCTCCTCCTCTCCCTCCTCACCATCGCTTTCTCCGACGTAAGTTTCCATTTTTTTTTCATTTTCTCTGATTTAATTTTTGGTGTTTGATAATAATATGGGTAATTGCAGGACCCGGATTGTGTGTACACGGTGTACGTTCGCACGGGGTCGATCATAAAGGGCGGGACGGACTCCAACGTCAACCTCCGTCTCTACGATGTGTACGGATACGGCTTCGAGATCACGAGCCTCGGGCCTGGGGCGGTTTGATGGGTCCCGGCTACAACTACTTCGAGAGGGGCAATCTCGACATATTCAGCGGCCGAGGTCCCTGCCTCCACTCCCCGATCTGCGCTCTCAATCTCACCTCTGACGGCTCCGGCCCCCACCACGGCTGGTACGTTAACTACGTCGAGGTCACCTCCACAGGGGCCCATATTCCCTGCCATCAACAGCTGTTCACCGTCGAGCAGTGGCTCGCCACCGATACGTGGCCCTATGAGCTCACCGCCATCAGGAACTACTGTAACTCCGACATCGAGGGTGCTGAGAAACGGGGTCGTACTGAGCGTCGGATGATCCGGTCCGGTTCAGGAGGTTTGGTTTCTACTGTTTAAGTAATTGTTTGGGTCCGGGGTTAATGAGTTGTTGTTTTGGTTATCCAAATCCGTGTTAATTTATTCAGGTGAGCGGTGCTGTGTAAAATTTAGACTATATTAACATATAAAAATATGAACTTCATTAGAATTCCGATCTGTTATCTGTGAAGTTCGGTAATGAGAACTGTGGTCTGTAAAATTCGGTAATGTTAGGGTAATCAAAATTTTAAATTAAAATTTGTCAATTAAATAATGTAATTGTCGATAATTAAATTATTAATTAAATGTCAATAAATGCATGTATTTTCTATTACTGATATATTATTTATTTACTAATTTAATTTAAAATTTTAGTCTCAAATATTATCTAAGAAAAAAAGTGTAGTTTGGAATTTGTTTTGTAGCCTTAAATTGTCATTAATGCCGCCCAATTATTGGTATCTTGCCCTGACGATGCAAAAAAATGGGACAATTATTATTATTTGGTTATAAATTTCTTATTTAAGTGTGATGATATAAATCTTAAATTAGATTTGATTCTAGTTATTTTTCCTATTAGGACTTGTATTCCTCGGAGGCGAAATATTTCCTCTCTCTTATTACTATAAAATAAAGGTATTGCGTAGGGAGAATAACAACACATCTTCTACACAACCTTACAAACACATCTCTCTATTCTCTCTCTGTGCCGCCAACCCCCTTCCTTGTCAGCTAAATATAAGCCACAACACGTATCAATACGCTTCTACTATCACATCCCTGCCCGGGCCCCACCACATTCCGGGCTAGATTCCACTGTAGCACGATATTGTCCGCTTTGGGCCCTGACCATGCCCTCATTGTTTTGTTTCTGGAACTTACACAAGAACTTCTCAATGGATCACCCATCCTGGAATTGCTCTCGCGCGAACTCGCTTAACTTCGAAGTTCCTCCGGAACCCAAAGCTAGTGAGCTCCCAAAAGGCCTCGTGCTAGGTAGAGATGAGAATATATATATATATATATATATATATATATATATATATATATATATATATATATATATATATATATATATATATATAAGGCTTATAGGATCCTCACCCCTGGGAGACATGGGATGTTACACCTATCACTGCGCTTAGGAATTTGACGTGGAAGCTTTTTGCATCAAACTAGTTCACCAATATCATCATGCAATCAAGTTCTTTCAAAACAACGATTTTTATCTCGATATTTTTGCAGCCCTGATAGCATGAAAATCCACCATAATGCATGACCCAACTTTACATTTTTTGAATTTTAGATTCTACATAAATTGAATATGCATTATATCCATAATTGTTGAATTATGTGAATTTGATATTGTCATGAATTGCATCAAATATCTGCTCATGCATTCAATTATTTATCTGAATATGCATTGAATTAATCTGGAATTGAAAAAAAATTATAAAGAATTTTTAGGGTTTCGTTGAAAACCCACCCATGTCGATGAACTTCTTTTTCCCCCAAGCCAAGAACCTGAACTTGGAGCCACGGCTCTAGGCCCAAACCTTAAACCCAACGCCCAAACGGTGTCGCCTCCCTTGAACCGTCGAGTAGCATGACTTGCAGCCATGCTAGCCACCTCCGGCTACTTCTCCGATGCGACAAGTCATTGCTTGAATTTTGATGTTTTTTTTTTCAAAATTAAAATCGAAAATTCTAGGGTTTTACAACGTTGAGTGTTTTTCACTCTTCGTTCAAATTTATAGGTTGCCGTTGAGCCCACAGCAATTTCCGTGATTTTTTTTCACCACGACACGACCACCTAAAGCGGTGGTGTCGGTCTTCTTCTGTGATGAGTTCACCCAGCTCACGCTGGGGTGTCTAGATAAAAAACCCAGGCCCACTTGGGCTTGGCCTGTTTCTCCGCAAGTATCATCCCTTTGGGCTTGGACACTTCCCTCGGCCCGCGAACGACACTAGCCCAATTGGGCTTTGGTGTCCTTAGTGTCCCTGTTGCAGTAGAACCCAGCCTACGTGGTTGTTGTAGATTCCCTGGGTTGTGACACACCGAATCCCAGCTTGCAGCTAGTGCATCGGTGCACCTGCACCATGCCGCATTTGAATGGTGCCCATATAGGTCTTTGTTTTGGATCTTATTCTTACAACTCGTTTTCTGCTACTGGGCTTGTAGTCAAAATTCTGTTTGGGGCATGATCAGCCTGTGCCTACCTAAGCCCAATTTTGGGGCTGGACCTCATGCACGAATTCACTCAGCCCACCCATGGGCTTTTGTCCAAATTTTTGCGCCCCGAGTGTTAATTGCCTATTTTTTAGGTACTTTTGGGTTTTATAATTTTTTCACCCACACATTAAATTTGGCCCGAAGTCTAAATAATTAATTTAATTATAATTATAGACTTGAAGTTCTATTTGCATATTTTCTTGTTGCATATTTCTGTATATATATTTGCGTTTGTCTGCAGGAACATATGAACTTGAAGTTCATAATTATTTTGAAACCTGAAGTTTCTAGAAACATGTCTTGTTTGAAAACCTGAAGTTTTTCTTAAAGACATCACCCATGAAAACCCAAAGTTTTTTCATGTGAATTTAAACCAATACATGTATGTTAGAACCTAAGTGTTCTACTCCTATGTGAATAGATTGATTTTTTTTTCTCCATTACACTAACCACATCTTGTCCATCTATTTTGTGATAGGAACATGTTGAATTTGAACAAGCTTGACTTCACCGCTATAGAGGTCTCTAGAAGGAACTACCTTAAGAGGGTCCAAGATGTGAAGCTCTACCACACTGCAAAGAATTTGTTTCCCGGCATTGAAGATGAGATGGACAACCTGGTTGGCAAAGATGAGAAAGCCACTGCCATGATCTTTATCCGAAGACATATTCATGACGCACTGCAAACCCAGTACCTTGCGAAAGAGGATCCACGAGCACTTTGGATCGCTTTGGCTGATCGCTTTGATCACCAAAATGACATTTTCTTACCTGAAGCAAGACATGACTGACAACATTTACGCTTTCAAGACTTTAAGTCTGTGAATGAATATAATTATGATGTTTGTCGAATCTAATCACTTCTCAAGTTCTGTAATGAGACATTGACCGAAGAGGATCTCCTAGAAAAGACATATTCAACTCGAAGAGGATCTATTGGAAAAGACCTATTCGACTTTCTCTGCTACTAATGTTGTCCTGCATCAATAATATAGGGCTAAGAAGTTCACTAAGTATTAGATTTAAACTCTGTTTTACTTCTTGCTGAAAAGCAAAATCAATTATTGATGAAAAACCATCAAGCTGGACCTACTGTGCCTAAAGCACATTATAGTACAAAAGAGGCCCAAAACTCCAACATATGTGTGGTAGGGGCGGCCAGAAGCTCTATCAAGGTCAACAAGGCCAAGGCCTATGTAAAGAAGGAAACCGAGCCCCGAAGCGCTCTAATCTCACTCCTAAGGCCCCAAACTTAAAGAATAAGGGTAAAGCACCTGAAACCATGGATGCAGACATGTGCTATCGTTGTAGTTCTAAGGACCATTGGTACCGTGTTTACCGAGCTCCTCATAAGGTTGTAGCTAAATGTCATTCTTGTCGTAAGAAGTTTGAATCAAACTTTGTGCAAGTGTATGAACCAAAGAGTACCACGATGGAGGTTTCTAACTTTCAAGAGGATACCACCCCTCTGGAAGATTAAAATCTTAGACATCAACTATTTTTCTAGTTGAAATTTAGACAATGGGGCTGAATTCCACTTAGTGGCCGAAGCAAATTATAGCACAAAAAAGGCCCAAAACACCAACATAGGTGTTGTAGGGGCAGCCAGAAGCCACCCTATCAAGGTCAATACGGCCAAGGCCCATCTAAGGAAGGAAACCGAGCCTCGAAGTGCTCTAGTCTCGCTCCCAAGGCCCCAAACTTCAAGAATAAAGGTAAAGCACCTGAAACCATGGATGCAGACATGTGCTATCGTTGTGGTTCCAAGGACCATTGGAACCGTGTTTGCTGAGCTCCCTAGAAGGTTGTAGCTAAATGTCATTCTTGTTGTAAGAAGTTTGAATCAAACTTTGTGCAAGTGGATGAATCAGAGAGTACCACGATGGAGGTTTCTGACTTTCAAGAGGTACCAACCCTATGGAAGATTAAAATCTTAGACATCAACTATTTTTCTAGTTGAAATGTAGACAATGGGGCTAAATTCCACTTAGTGGCCGAACCCCCCCTTTTGTTTTTGGTTTAATTTTGAATAATTTTCCTTTATGTTTGGATTATTTGTTGGTGATTTGTTTTTGGATATTAAGTTTTTAATTAATTACCATCCTTGAATACTTAAAATTATTTTGAATGGATATTTATTTTTAGAACTTTTATGCATATGACCGATTCAAATTAAATTTTATTCTATATATGACTAGTGGAAAGTTAGTTGTTTGGCATATAGTGCAACCACGCACACCGTTTTCCGTGAACGCATCTATTTCACTAACTTCATACCTAAGAATGCACCTCTGACAACCTTCTCAGGCCCATCCAACCTGATCAAAGGATATGGTAAGATATGTATAATGTTGTCCAATGGTACGATCTTGACCATTGATGAGGCACTTTATTCTCCACGTTTCAGAATAACGTTGTTCAGCTTCAAAAACATTCGAGACAATAATTACCATGCTAAAACCTATAAAGAAAATAGAGTTGATTTTTTGTGCATCACTTCCTACGAATATGGCCAGAAGCATATTATAGAGAAGACGGAGCGTATCCCGAGTGGTTTGTATACTACAACCATACATCCTATAGAGAGCCACTATGTGGCCGGCATTACCTCAGGAACTATGCACAAAATTACACTCTGGTATGATCATTTGGGACAATCTAGACGAACAACGATGTTCCATATGCTCAAATCTTCACATGGGCATCCAATAACCTAAAGTTTAGGTTCAATTCAAGGAATAGCATATCAAATCTGCTCTATGGGAAAATTTATCATTAAGCCTCCCTATGACAAGCTTACCATTGTTAGTTCTTAAACCTAGGCCTCTATGCATTCTATCATGCTACCTTTATCTCTTTTTTTTTTCATGGTTATTTTTTGCCACTGTCCTAAATTTTTCATGATACATGAAAATCTGGCTATTTCAATGGAGTGTATCTCGAGTGGTCTGTATACTACGACCATACGCTCTATAGAAAGCCACTATGTGGCCGACTCTACCTTTGGTACCACGCATGAAATTACACTTTGGAATGATCGTTTGGGACACCCTGTA